AAAAAAAAAGAATAAACTGAAACCTGAAATGGCCAGACTCTTTTATTGAACATCATGCTGAAGCCCAAGAGACAACGTCACCTCCCACTGGTTCTCCTGAAGTCTGACACTGAGTTGTCCCATGCTCAAGGATCTTTAAAAGCATTTTCTCTGAACCACAGATTTCCCAAACTCCTTGAAATCTTCAGAAGTGACCCACATCTGCTTGAAACTGCTCAGAGAGGTCATCATGGATGCACCGATCCACGCAGAGAAACGTCTATCAGGAGAAGCTGTGATCTTGATAGTGGTCCCTTTGGGAGCCAGCTGTTCCAGTTCTTTCATGAGCCTTTCTTCCAGCCCAGGAAAAAGAGTGGTGCCCCCAGAGAGTACAATCTCTGCAAAAAGGTTCTTCTGGATGTCAGTGTCACAGTTTATAATGCTGCTGGAGACCATTTTCGAGAGTCCTGGATTATGGATGCCCAGTTGTTCAGGAGTAAAAAGAGCCTCTGGCACCTGGTACAGCTGGTCGCCAATGTGGATGACATTCCCATCTGGCAGTTTGTATTCTCTCAAGACCTCCTCCGGCTTCTTATGTAGCTGTTTCTCTGGCTCCAAGGCAATGTAGCACAGCTTCTCTTTGATGTCATTTACCAAGGCCTTGTTGACCACACAAGGCAAGGTACACCCTCTAGCAAAGAGGAGCCGGGTGAGGTGTTCTGTGATGTCCCTCCCTGCCACGTAGAGCTTGGTGACCGCATGAGGCAGTGAGTAACCTTCAAAGACGGGGACAGTGCAAGTGACCCCATCCCCACTGTCCACCACCAGGCCTGTGACACAGGCAGAGGCATAGAGTGCTACCACGGCATGGTTGGACAGATAGAAAGCAGGCACATTGAAGTTCTCAAACATCATTTCTGCAAGCTTTTCTCGAGTTTCCCTTGGGTTTAAGGAGGGCTCAGTCATCAGTACAGGCTGTTGACAAGGTTTTACTCCCAGCTTCCACTCGAAAATATGTTTCCAGAGTTTCTCCATGTCATCCCATCCCGTTACCAGTCCACGCTCAACGGGGTAGTGCAAATATAAGGCCTCATACTTGTACAGGGCTTCTTCCCCCATGAAATACTTCTTATGATTGGCTCGTTTGGAAGGTACGTTGGCTTTAGGATGCCCCAAGGCACAGTGGATGACATGACGAGGTCCAACCTCTCCAGATAAGCCAGCTTTGCAGTATCCTGAACCGTTGTCAAAAATCACAGCTGGAACATCTAATACATGTGGATTAAACATGTCTGTATCACGCTCTTCTGAACCTCGCCAAAATAATAAAAGAACACTTAGGCCACTTTGTGAGACAACAGGCACCTTTGGAAGTTTTAAAGCCACGGGATTCCAGAGTTCTCAGGTTGTCACCGAGGTGGAGCTAGTAGGTTGTCTCTAATCCACCGGAACATCCCATCCTCAACCCATGAATCCTTTCTTATTTCTGGCAGCCCCAGTGCTGCTGAGGCAACTTCAGAGATGATTGCCCTTTATGTAACAATCCTGCTGAGGTAATAATTGCCCTCAGTGGGCATCAGAGGGGCGGGGTCTCTGAGCCACCAGTACTCCCTACCTGGTGAAACATAAAGCCAAGGAAGGCAAACATACCTATGGGCAGCTTTAAGGAGCCTGTGAACCCAAAGCAGAGGCCTAATTTTAGAACAAAGTGAAGGTGCAGAGCTTTGGGTATGTCCCAGGAAACTACTCTCTCTGCTACGCTGAGCTGCATTATGTAGAATACTAAAAATATCCTTCCCTTTGCTAAGGGGAGGAACTAAGCACCAAACATAGGTTAGTGTTGGAGTAAGGATGCCCATAATCAACTGAAGATATTCTTTCTTTTATTTCCCTTTACATTTGTTTTCTTGTTTTTAATAGTTTTATTGTGATCAATTTTACATACTATGCATTAACCCTCTTAAAGTGTCCATTTCCTTATTTTAGTATAGTCACAGATACACACAAATATCACAAAAATCAATTTTAGAATATTTTCCTCACCTCATAAAGAATCCCAGTACCCTTTAGCTATTACTCCTCATTAGACCATCCTCCTGAGCCCTAAGTCCAGCTGATATGTCTTCTGCCTCTGTAGATTTACTTTTTCTGCATTTTTTCATATAAATGGAATCATATAATATGGGGCCTTTTGTGTCTGGTTTCATTCACTGCACATTGCCTTCAAAGTTCATCCATTGTTTGCTATAACACATTTCTTTATATATCAGTTGATGGGCATTTAGTGTTTTAAATAAATGCTTTATTATAAAATATGCTGCTAGAAACAATCTTGTCCATGTTTTTGTGTGGATTTATGTTTTCACTTCTTTTAGATATATACCTAGAATTGGAATTGCTGAATGGAATATGACAACTCTATGTTAAATTATTTGAGTCTGTTTTCTGTAAGTCTACTTTCCAAAGGGGTTCTTACATTTTACATATCCATGGACGCTACAGGAGCACTCTTACTTCTCCACAGGATCCTCAACATTATTATCTAACTTTTTGATTCTAGACATCCTGGTGTGTATGAAATGGTATCTAATTGTGGTTTTGATTTATATTGCTAATGACTAATAGTGAGAATCTTTTTATGTGCTTAATTGTCATTTGAATATTTTCTTTGGAGAAATATCTATGCAGATTCTTTGCCCATTTTTAATCAGGTCATTTGTCTTTTGATTATTGAATTGTAAGTGTTTTTATTACATATTCAATATTCTAGTCTTTATTAGATATACTATATACAAGTACCTTCTTCTATTCTTGGATTATCTTTTCACTTTCATGATAGTGCCATTGGAATTAAAAAAGTTTCAAATTTTGATGTAGCTCAATTTATCTGTTTTATAATTTGTTGCTCATATTTTTGCATCGTATCTAAAAATTCATTATAAAATCCAAGATTCTGAGTATTTACCCCTATGTTTTCTTCTAAGAGTTTTACAATTTTAACTGTAGAACTTATATATTTTTTTCATTTTGAGGTTTTTTAAATATGGTATAAGTTTCCAACTTCATTGTTTTGAATGTGGTTATCCTATTGTTCCATTTCCAGTGGCTAACCATTTGTTGAAGTGATTATTGTTTCCGCCATTGAATGGCTAGTATTCTTGTCAAAAAAACAGCTTCCCATAGACACTTGGGTTATTTCTAGACTCTCAATTATATTCCATTGATTTACATGTCTATCCTTATGCTAATAGCACACTACATTGATTGTTATTACTATGTAATAAATTTTGAAGTTAAGAAGTTTGTGTCCTCCTTCTTTGCTCTTTTTCAAGGTCATTTTGGCTATTCAGGGTCCCTTGAAATTCCATAAGAATTTTAGGATCAGCTGTAAGTTTCTACAAATAAGTCATCTAGGATTTTTTTTTTATTATTTCAGCATATTATGAGGGTACAGATGTTTAGGTTACGTATGTTGCCCTTGCCCGCCCCCTCCCCCCCAGGTCCGAGTTTCAAATATGTCCATCCTTCGGGTGGTGCGCATTGCACTCTTTGTGTATGCATATACCCGTCCCCTCCTCCCTCCTCCCTCTTCCCCCCTGCCCAACATCCAATAGATGTCATCTAGGATTTTGATAGAGATTTCCTTGAGGGTTGGGCATGATGGTTCATGCCTGTGATTCCAACACACTGGGAGAACAAGGCGGGAGGATCACTTGAGGCCCGGAGTTCTAGATCAACCTGGGCAACATAGCAAGACCCTCTATCTAAAAAATAAAAATAAAAAATTATCTGACTATGGTGGCATGCACCTACAATCCCAGCAATTCAGGAGGCTGAGACAAGAGTATCACTTGAGCCCAAGGGTTTGAGGCTGCAGTGAGCTAAGATCTCACCACTGCACTCCAGCCTGGACAAGAAAGTGAGGCCTTGTCTCTTGGGGAAAAAAAGAGATTGTCTCAAATCACTAGATCAATTCGGGGAGTATTACCTTCTTAACAATATCAACTCTTCTAATTCATAAACATAAGATTTTATTTTTCTATTTATTTAGATCCCATTTTAATTTATTTAAGCAATGTTGTCATTTTCAGAGTATCGCGTTTTTACTACTTTGGTCAAATCTAGTCCTAAGCATTTTATACTTTTTCGATACTTTCTAAATGGAATTATTTTCTTATTTTGATTTTCAGATTGTACAAGGGTATAAACAATTTATATTTGTATATTTGATCTTGTATCCTGAAACCTTTCTGAACTTCTTAATTTGTTTTTAGAGTTTTTAGTAGATTCTGTTATATATATATATATATATATATACACACACACACTCATTTATATGTAATATACAAATAGATATAGATTTACTTCTTCTTTTCCAATCTGCATGTCTTTTATTTCCTTTTCTTGACTAAATGTCCATCTAGAACCTCCGGCTGAATAGAAGTGGTGATAACAAACATCCCTGAGTTTTTCCTGATCTTAAGGGGAAAGCTTCCAGTCACTTATCAATAAGTGTGATGTTAGCTATGGGTTTCTTACAGCAATTTTCTACATTTTTCGTGTTGAGAAATTTTCCTTCTCTTTAAGTGTTTTCATCTTAAATGGATGATGAGTTTTTTCAAATGCTTTATTTTATCTATTGAGATGATAATATAGATTGTGGTTTTTATTTTATTGATATTGTATATTATAGCAATTGATTTTCAGATGCTAAATAAACCTTGTATTCCTGAAATTAATCCTACTTGTTTATAGTACATATTTTTTATATTTCTAGATTTGGTTTACTAGTATTTTATTGAGGACTTTTACATCTATATTGATAAGTCATATTGATCTGTATGTAGTTTTCTTTCCTTCCAATATCTTTGGTTTTGGTGTCAGGATAATTCTGGCATTATAGAATGAGCTGGGAGGTTTTCCCTAATCCCCTGTTTTTGGAAGTGTTTGTGAAGAATTGGTATTATATCTTCTTTAAATATGTTGTAGAATTCAGCAATGAGCCATCTGGTCCTGGGCTTTTCTTTGTGTGTAGTTTGTTATTACTGATTCAATCTTTTTCTTCTAAAGTCAGCTTCAATAGTCTGTCTTCCTAAGAATTTGTCCATTTACCTGAGTTATCTGATCTATGACATATCATTGTTCATAATATTCCTTTATAATCCTTGTTTATTTCTCTAAAGTTGGTAGTAATATTCCCTCTATTTTTTTAACCTTTAAAAGAAACTGTTTTGGTTTCTTTGATTTGTCTATTTGGTCCTTTAGTCTCTATTTCAATAATTTCTGCTCTACTGTTTATCGTTTCATTCCTTCAGCTCTTTTTTTCTGCTTTTCTTTTTCTAGTGACTTTAGGTGGAAGGTTAGCATGTGGATGTGAGATATTTTTCTTTCTTAATATATACTTTGACTATTAATTTTATATATCAACTTGGCTAGGGTATTATGCCTACTTGTTTCATAAAACACTAGTCTAGATATTGATGTGAAGGTTATTTTGTAGATGTGATTAACATTTATAATCACTTGACCTCTGTAAAGGAGATTACCATTCATAATGTTGGTGAGCATCATTCAATAAATTGAAGACATTCAGAAAAAAAAATGAGGTTTCTTGCATTTGTGAATTGGTCTCTTTCATCAGTTCTGGAAAGCTCTTAATTTTTCTCAATATTATTCTTTCTCATTCTGTCACTCCTCTGTAGTATTCACATTAGGCACATTTGAACTTCTATTTCAATCTTTATTTTAACTTAATCTCTTGCAGTTGGAGCCACTTTTTATACTGCTTTCTGGATAATTTTTGTTTTTAGTTTACTAATGTTCTGTGTAACAGTGTAAGTTTACATTTAACATATCTACTGGATATCTAATGCTATTTTATTTATAATATCAATAATCTCACTTCTGGAAGTGTGTTTTATTTATTTTCAAATCTGCTTCATCGTGTTTAATGTCACATGTTCCTTCATCATACATTTAAATATTAATTTACTTAAGGATATTTTGATATCATATACTGTAAAGTACAATTACAAAACCTTCAGTGTTTTTAGGTCTAACATTAGGATTTGTTTTGTCTTCAGTCTCTAACTGACTCTAGTTTATACAGATTAGATTCTTAATATTTTAGTGATATTTTTATTATGAAATAATGTCACTGGCTGCTTGCTGATTTGAATGTTTCCCTCTAATATTCACATTGAAATTTAATCCCCAACGCAATACTATAGCATGAAGAGATGGGATCTTTAGGAGGTGATTAGGTCGTGAGGGTAGAGCCCTCATAAATGAGATTACTAGTCTTATACAAGGGCTCCAGGGAATTGGTTAATCCCTTTTACCCTTCCCTCCTTCCGCTATGTGAGGACACAGCAACAAAGGTGTCACCTATGGAGTATAGAGCAAGCCTGCATCACTGAATCTGCTGGTGCCTTGATCCT